TCAAACTGACTGTTGCGTTGTCAAATGGCTGCATTCTTATTTCTCGGGAAGAAAGCAGTACACTGTATGTCAGGGAAAGTCGTCCACTTCACTGCTTACTGAGGCTGGTGTCCCTCAAAGTGATGTCCTTTCTCCTTTTCTGTTTTCCTTCTTTTTGCATGATTTGTCTCACTCTGATGAAATGAACTTTGTTAAGTATGCTGATGATCTAACTATTTCAACGTCTGTTAACTCCCAGATTGACTGTGCTAAGATGAACAGCTTTCTATCGGGAATTAGCAAGTGGTCTTCGTCTAACGGCCTTAAACTAAATCCTTCCAAATGTCAGACTGTTAATTTCAGTTTCCGATGTAAAAGAAAGCTGAATAAAGCCGTTGGTCCCTATGACCCTAGCAAAATTGATGACAATGATATAGATATCAAGTTGGAAGTTAAGTATCCTGGATTAATTCTTTCTTCTGACCTATCCTGGTCTTTCCATGTCTTAGAGATTTCTAAAAGAATATTTCGTCTGACTTTTTACATTAAGAAGCTAAGGCACTCAGGCATAACCCAACCACTCCTCTTACAGTTTGTCAACTGGTATATTTTACCTATTCTTCTTTACTCTTCTCCCTTATTCTTTCCTGGATTGCTTAAAAAAGACTATGTCATACTTCGTAGAACTGTGAAGACTGTCAGTAGGACGAGTGGTATCCCATTGGGCCATATCGTTGAAATTGTCACTGAAAGGCACTTGATGTCATGCAACAAATTTGCTAAAGGAATTTTGTCAGACTCTGAGCACCCACTCTACTCGCAACTCCAACCTTGTGTCTCCTCAGGTAAAACAAGGAGTCTTTTTAAAAGAATTTACGCACGTACGTCTAAGTATAAAAATTCCACTATACCATATTTGGCACGTGCCTAATGTTGTAAAAACAGTGTCAGGAATGAACTAACTAAACTTCTTCACCATAGTAAATAAACCATTTCCTACACCCTTAGAACATCAACCTTTATTGTTATTGTACTTCTTATGTTTATAATCCTGTCAATTTTTCATTTTTATTTGTTTATTTTTTCATAAGTGTGAACATCATTCAAAGCTGTGTTACAACTGTTAATTTTGTATTTTCCCTCACCATACTATATCAACAGCACATTAGATTCAATACTCTATAGTAACATGCTAAAATTTTCAAACTGAATCGACAGTACTATTTGAAACAAACTCACCGTTATTATTTTTATTATTGTATTTAATATCCTCAATTTGTACTCCGAATATTTTTGACTTTATTTATATCGTAAGCGTGGACAAATTCCTCTTGTTACTTTTGTTTTAATTTTTAATTTTATTTATATTTTAAGTAAATAAGATGTAATATTGTGACAAATGCTGAGAATTCCATTCTGTATTATAAGTACTGTTTTTGGAATAAAGTAAAATAAATTATTTAAAATTATTTAAAAACAGGGTAAATAAGGAGTCTGTTAAGAGGAAGAAGAGATGTTACTCAAACGTCATACGAAAATTCAATAATAGATTTCATAATAAAGCAGTCGAACCTTAAATTTTGTCCAAATTAAAATGAGGGGATGAAGGAGTTTCTTCTGTGTACGTAAATCAGGGTTTCTTATCCAGATCACCAAGGCCTTGGTAATGCAAAGTATATGGAAACTTGCTGCTGTAGATAAACTTGAATGATGAATTCTCCTTACACATATTGATTGATCAGTGTTGAATATATGTTTAACATATGCGCGAGTCATTGGGCTTTACGAAACCCAAAGGTGCAGTGAAGGTAAAGATTTGGCTTGTCCAGGTTGAGGTGAGATCCTGTTGTTTTGCTCATTAATTCCAAGCTGCGAGCAGCAGGTGCATCAGCGGCCCGTCCCATGAGGTAGACATGTGGCCTTGTGCTATGTGCACCGTCGGGGCGGAGCAAGAGCGTACATCTTGGGACCCGAAAGATGGTGAACTATACTTGCGAAGGTTGAAGTCAGAGGAAACTCTGGTGGAGGACCGTAGCGATTCTGACGTACAAATCGATCGTATAATGTGAGTATAGGGGCGAAAGACTAATCGAACCATCTAGTAGCTGGTTCCCTCCGAAGTTTCCCTCAGGATAGCTGGCATTCTGAGATATAAACAGTTTTATCCGGTAAAGCGAATTATTAGAGGCATTGGGGAGAAAACATCCTCAACCTATTCTCAAACTTTAAATGGATGAGATGCTTAACTCGCTTAAATGGAGTTTTGCATTGAATGTGAGTGCCAAGTCGGCCATTTTTGGTGAGCAGAACTGGCGCTGTGAGATGAACCAAACGTGCGGTTAAGGTGCCTAACGCGACACTCATGAGACACCACAAAAGGTGTTGGTTGGTCCAGACAGAAGGACGGTGGCTATGGAAGTCGGAAACCGCTAAGGAGTGTGTAACAACTCACCTGCCGAATCAACCAGCCCTGTAAATAGATGGCGCTCGAGCGTTGGACCTATACCGTACCGTCGCTGCCAGCTGGGCCTAAGCAGTGCGAGGGTAAGCTGACTTGGTCCAGGCACGGAGTGGCGGCGACGAGTAGGAGGGTCGCTGTGGATAGCGGGAAGCCTCAGGCGTAAGCCTAGGTGAAGCAACCACAGGCGCAGATCTTGGTGGTAGTAGCAAATATTCAAGTGAAAAGTTTTTCAATGGGAACAGCAGTTGGCCATGGATCAGGCAGTCCTAAGTGATCCGGTAAATCGGAACAGAGACGGGGTGCCCGATATTGTCCGCTTACGGGCTTTGTTAGTATTGCTGCTAAATTGTACTGTTGCAACGCAGCCCCCTGTAGCGAAAGGGAATCGGGTTAATATTCCCGACCCTGTCCACGGAGGTTGGTGCATGTTGGATCTTTGATTCAATGTGTGCTCAGCGCGGTAACGCAACCGAACTCGAAGACGTCAGCGGGAGTTCTGGGAAGAGTTCGATGACTATAAACTATGCTTCGGATTTCGGGATGTAGGGGTCGACACGATATCTAATTGTGGTATGAGCGTGAGGATACTAAATCGTTTGTAGACGACTTAATGTTTTGTCGGGGAGACGTAAGTGCTCGAGCAGCTATCACACTTCGAGGTATTAAGTCCTATCCCTGCTTGACGTAGCCAAGTGTTCTTTGACTCTCTTAGATAAAACCTACATTAGCTATTCTCCTCATAGAGATGCCGGCCAGCAAGCCGCCTTTGAACGCCACATTCACGCATAGTGTCTCCTTCAGCACAGAGATGGTTTGTTCTTTATTGATTTCAGGCTTGTGCTTTTTATAAAGCGTGAGGGATAGCCATTCTCAAGTACAAACTTCTCCATCCCCTCATTTTAATTTGGACAAAATTCAAGGTTCGACTGCTTTGTTATGAAAACTATTATTGAATTTTCGTATGACATTTAAGTAACATCTCTTCTTCTTCTTAACTGACCCCTTATTTACCCTTTCAACCTACTACATAATTTATTTTGGACACTGGTCTCCATACTGTTTCATTAGCATCCTATTTTTCTGGATATCTTTCATGTTACGTCAGTCGCTAGTCAAGACTTACTAATCTTCACGCTTTGGTTACAATTTTATCATTCGTCACACGTTTTGATGAAGTATACAATACCACAAGTAATTTTTATTCTTGTCTGACGATGCTGATTTAAACACACGCAAAGAAAAATAATTAAATATAACTGCGATTGTGTAGCTAAGTGAATGAATTCTCCTGAAAGAGACTCCTCGTTAATCTATTGGTTCTTAAATTTTATGGGAACCAACCCAAACAATCATAATTATTGATATAAGTATAAAACTTGGGCACAAACAATCATAAGCCTAAGTTTTACCTGAAAAATTGTCTACATTCACAATACACACTGAATTGCTGAGAACCGAAATGATTTGTCTTAATTACTTGAAACTGATTGCCACAATATTGTCTTGAATAGCTGTACACAGTGTGAAAGGAATGCTCAATCTAGGCTTTGTACAATGAAGCAGTCAGTTATACAAGTAGTGGTTAAATGCAATAAATCCAGTATTATTATTGTTATTAGTCCTCTGGGTTGCAGTGAAACGTAGGTCTTCCAAAACACATCTCCGTTTCTCCGTGTTATCTACAGTCGTCTTTAGCTTGTTCGATGATTGCCCATTATCTCTCATCTCTTCATTACATGATCTTCTCGACGTCAATCTCAGATAAAAGCCCAAATTGTCTTTTCTTTTACTTTACAACTTGCTTAACGTAAGATGGTACTCAACAATCTCCTCAACGAGTCCCGTTCATATCCCTTTCCTCTTTTACGCATTTACTGGGTAATAGGTGCTTGGTTGGCTCAATACCTGAGTTGCTACCTTGTTGCTAACGCTTGCTGACTGAGACATCTGATCTTCAGAAAGAAGCGAAAGTAGCAGTTGACAAAAGTCTGCCGTGGCTTGTTGGAAATGCCTTTTGTGACTTTGTAAATCTCTAAACAATGTAGAAGAACTGATTTGACACTAGCCTACTAGCTAGTCCTAAGAGGGGAAAAAGAAGGAAAGTTAGTCGTAAGGCTGGACACTCTTATCTGGAAAATCAATTCAGCCGCTACAGAAACGTCAAAACACAGAAAAAATTATTAAGTCAAGTATTCAGTACGATATATTCAAGAATGGACAACATAAATAATGACTAAGCAGGCAGATCATTGTATCATCTTCGTGGATTTGCAAACACCAGTGTGCATGTATGTATGTATGCGTACAACCACTTCTGAAGAAGATATTCCCCGGAATATACTTCCAATGTCTCTGCCTTTCCGACATCTTGATTACTTTAAAGTATATTAACATTTTATTACATAATTAAATGAACAGCCTACTGATATAGTATTATGACACTTTGGCAAATGACAGATCATTATATCTGTTCAGTGTTCTGTAAGCGTAAAGTCACAAATTAAAAAAAAACAAACATCCATTTATATATATATATATATATATATAATACTTTTTATTTAAAAAATTAAAATAGATAAATAAAGTTAGTTATAGTATAGGATGTCGACACTCCATGATAAAATATAAATATATATTCGAAATACTCATTTATAGTTTTCTTTAACTTTCTTATCAAAAATTTAAGTAATCCAAAATCTGGAGTAATATAATCACATTTAAAATTAGTAGTTTATCATTCCTCCGTATCCGAGATATTAGATTTCCACTACCACTTGTAGATGTAAGGTTTGGACAAGGCTGAATGAAGAAAAACAACACATATTGAAACTTGAATAACATGGAAATGTTCTACATTTCACTAATAATATAAAGATATTCCGTTGTAAAAGCAAGTGCAACTGCAGAAGACAAGGGCCAGGCAACAGACCGTTTATTGAGAAAATCAACAGATACTTATATATATATTTTCATGTACATTATTATTCGTTTTTATTAGCAGAGAAACAGTGTCTTCTGATTGGCTGTTTTCTCTCTAAAAGTTAATCTGTCATCTCTTTGTATCCGTTTCTTTGAAGGTCAGACCATATATCTGCGAATCGTATCCGCCTAGGCTAAGTCCGCTGTGATTGGTTACTGAGTTAGGCTTTGTTCTTGTTCTTTCCTCATAAACAAGATTCGAGACGTAAATATTGACGTTAATTGCTATCTACCAGTTTTGGCTTGCAAACAGCTCTCACCACACAAGCAGGATAATAACGAAGCCTTGCATATCATAGAATTCTACAGTTAACATGACTACAGGGCATACATTTAACCATAGCTTACTAATGTTCTGACACAAATAAGAAGTATCCAATTTTCAATAGGTGTATAATGGTCAAGGTTTCGGTCGTCGCTAAAATAACAGATTTACGCACATAGTTATTACTGACTGACAAAGGCATTTTTTAAAAAGGATCGCATCTTATACGGCTTTTTAAGGATAGTTGCTAAAATGGTTGGTTTTTTGTTAACTTAAGGATGTTAGTTAGGCTTTTGATCTTGAATGAGAAAACTAGCGTAGTTTAGTGTAAAGAAGAGTTTACTGAGTGTGTAATGCTTTTTGTCATAATTTTTCTTCACCAGAAAGCGGTTTGTCAAAAATATCACTAATAATAAAGATTGCTTTATGATAATTTTTATTTGACTGTGTTATCCGTTTATCTTCGGTACCGAGGTTATGTTAAAAGTACTGTTAGAAAAACTACCGAAAATACTTTATAACACAAACACCCGTACACTGATGAGGACAAGCCACACATACACACAAGCACACCAATCGCAGAATGTTAAATTAATAGGACATTATATCTGCTGTTTGATAAATCATCAAGTAATTTTCCAATAATGTTTCAGAAAAACCAGAAAAATAGTGTTTCCATCAAAACAAATTTTGTGAACAGCCTCAGTGGCATTATTATAAAAACAGTGAGCTGAATAGCATCTAAAAGTCACTAGATAAGAGAATCCTGAGAACGATATTTCATTAGCATGTGTTCTTTTGCATTTTCATCCCTTCAAGAAAAGTTGACTTTAACATATTTTAATTCCAGTTGTTAGATTTCACCACTAGTTAACATTAGTTAGACAGAACACTGGAAACCAAGGAGGACTGGATAGTTATTTTGTCTTATCTTGCAGCTGTTGAGCAGTGTGCAGACACAAACCCACCAGGGGTTAAAACCGGCATCTACAGGTTATACGAGACCAAGCTGGTTGATCATTTAGCCGCTTGGGATAGAACTTATTAGTAACTTATTAAGGACATGAAAACGGTGAACAGCTATTTTCTCACAAGATCATTTCAATATTAATCATTTTTTAAAGTTTTCTTGTTTATTTATATGGAAATACCAGATGATTTATTTCAAATCAGCAGAGATACGCGTAGAGGCACATTTTGTGAAGCCTTCGCCTCCGCCGAGGGAGAGGGCTCTCAAGTGGTTGCGCCACAGGATGATCCTGCATGCCGGTCTCGTCTTGCAAGAGGCACGGATGGGTATGTTGGGTTCTCTCGAAAACCAATACCCAGCCAATAGGTGTATCCCTGTGTAAGCCTTCGCCTTATCAGTATTAATAATGACTATACATTATTCGTTGTTACTGAGCCACTGAACAGTGATTCATCATGAGCATATTTAAGTACGTATACATACATACAGGAATAATAATAAGGATATTAGTTATAGTAGAAGTAAACTAAATGAGGCAGGCGTTGACATGGTCTACAAATAGTTAGATAAAACTGAATTTTACGAAATGGGAAGTTGCGTAACAATACAAAAGAAGTAAATGGACAGGATTTCAGATAGACAGACCTATTATAAGGATGAAGAACCACTGAACTTGCATTCGGTATGCACAAATTGAAAACAATATTGTTAACTTTATACATATATATATATATATATATATGTATTCACCATGGTAGAGTAGAATTTCATCATAAAGTAAATTTATTTGATAAAAGCACATAATTATGGAGTATTATTTACTGATGACATTTCGAGTACAGTTTATTGCTCATAATCATATCAAGGTACCCACATAACTTTCAAACTTCATTTACATGATTCTATCATTTCATATGATTTTAATTTTATCGGTAGCAATATTTCCCATAGCTATGGTACCACCATTGCATTATTCATACTCCATAAGTAGAGTTTTTAATACAGTAGGAATTAGAGTGGCAGTGAAACTTACGAATTCACTCAGGGTCTACAGCATATATCAGACCAGCATTTTGGGGGGGGGATGTCAGTTTATTAGAAGTTAAGAATTCAGCTGAGTGCGGAATGATTATACCCATGAAAAAGAATCGTTTAGAGAAGAATTCATCAACTGCAATGCATGCCTTAACACACAATCACACAACAGAGTGAGGTAGAGCTACAGTACTCGAAAGTTATATAGTTCGGTGGAGGGAGAGGTTGATCATTGAATCTTTACTCATCGAATCGACACTGAACACGTATAGCAGGAATAAGTCAACACAGATTAAATCAGAATATAATGGGTACCGGAATCATATAGTCAAAATTTGAAATTTAAGTGTTGGTTTGTAGGGATTTGGTTGATTACAGGATTTCATCATGAGCTGACATGCAATGGTTAGAGAACCATTGGATAACCCACAGGGAGTACTGGATAGCTGTTTCGTCCTAGTTTGGGTCTCTTCACAGTACGCACCCACCAGGGTTCGAACCCAGGAGCTTCTGGTTACAAGGCGAGCTCGTATACCATTCAGCCACTGGGACCTGACTTAATGGCCCATTAATTCTAACTTCTGCATATTCATGACATAGCGCGACCCCCAGCCAATGTCTTTGGGAAGTATTTGTCCTCACACCCGACCGGCTGCACCCTACTGGTCACGAATTCTCACTAGAATCCCAGGTATTTATTTACCTATTCAGGTAGGTGGTAAGCAATGTCAGCTTATAATGAAATTCTGTAACAAAATTTGAAAGTTATGTGAGTGTATTGATATAAATATGAGCAATAAACTAAGCTCAAAACGTCATAAATAAATGGTACTATACAACTATGTGCTTGTATCAAATGAATTTACTCTATAATAATGAATATTGAGCTTACATCTGTCTTAGAAAACAGCAGGTAGTCACAAGAATGACACTATCCTCTGATATAGAAGTGAATTTCAGTCATTATGGGTCTACTGATATGATTTTAAACCTAGCAAGCTAAATATGGAGAACTTCAGCCAGAGTACCACTGAAATACCTCTCAAGCTTATTCCAGCTTCAAATGATCTGTGATCAAAAATAAAAAGCCTAAGGTTTAAAATGTGTTATATAAATATTATTAGAAAGATTTAAGAGAAAGATACAAAGATATTAAGCATGGTATTTTTTTTTTTGCATACTTACACTGCATAATCCATTACAAGTGGGACATAGAGCTAATCCTCTAACATTAATACTACTGTCAAAAGCGTTAATTCCGATAGATTGACCATCACCTGAACATGAGAAATTTCCACTTCCAATTAATAAGGTAATCCCAGAACCTGTGCACGTATACTAATGAAACCGAAATGAAGATAAGATTATTTATCAAACTTTTTAACGCGACAAATATGATTTATTGATTTAGGCGGTGATTGTAATTCAGTAAGCGTTATACAACCTACTACATTGCGTAACTTGCAATATCCAGGTCAAAGATTCATAAGTCAGTTTAGAGAAAATGAGCTATTTTCAATCATACAGGGAAGCAGAATATTATTAACCTTATAAATCAAGGTACTGGTTTAACTGAAATGAAGCTCTTTTATAACAAAAATATGAACAATCAGGTGAGCTTACATAAGATGAATAGATTCTAGTAATAGCTAACCTTTTCAACAAAGACTTCTAAATACAAGTGGGTTTTTTTTTCATTTCTACCCACCACCTGGTTTTATATTTGACCTAATTATTAATTGTGTAAGTTAAATGGCATGATAAGGAGTATTTACATTCAGAATTCCATAGAAAATACGGGTTAAAGGAACACTAACTATCTAATTATACTTATGTGCCTTGTTTTTAAACTATTTAAAGGTTGACCTGACGCTTGAAAGAGTCTTCACTCTACTTCATATTTTTTTTTATTCCTTCACGTTCCCAGTGGAATATAGGGCGGCTTGAAGCTAGAGGCTTGAAGTTTTTGTAGAAGTGTTTATTTTTACCAGCTATATTTCTGGCCTAGCGAGGTAAAGGAGTGCGTTGGCCGGGGATCGAACTCCTGACCATGTACATGGTCGGCAAGCATCCTAACCGCTGTGCCACCAACTCACATGTTTCATTTTAATCACTAATTATGTGGATTAAACAAGTGTTACCGAATTCAACAGTTTAACATTTCTCGCTCTTTCCAACACTCACATTTAGTAGAGAATATCGCTTTTACTGGGAAACTAACACAGTAAAAGAAAACCCTTTTAGAATAAAAATATATATATTCCCATATTGAAATCACCTACCACGATAAGCATGAAAAGCCTTCATATTCATAATTTTGTAGAAACCAAATGTGTACCATTTTATTGTGGTATAATTTTCTTACCTTGTGACAACTTGGAGTATTCAGTATTCTATAAAACCCTCCTACAATACTGACTCGAAACTGTAAGGAGTCAGACTCCACGCAAATTGAATCTCTTCCAAAATACTGTAAGGCATAGTTGTTTCTTGAATCTGGAAAGAAATGAAGGCTAAGCTGCTTGAAAGGATTGACAGAAAACTATTAAA